GCTTCTAGCTTTACCGTGGCCCTGGTCAGCGGAAACTTACTCAAGGTCTCCCGATACAGCTGCGTGGGTATGATGCTGACTGCTGCACCTGTGTCCACCATCATCGACACGTCATGACCTCCAATGCCAACGGTGTACCACGGACAGTTCGAAGGCATGCTCTTTTGAACGGTAAGCACCTGTACTGCCCCCACCTGACGATCCTTAGCATCTGTGTCATTCCGCTTTGTACGACAGCAACGACTGAAATGACCTGTCTCATGGCATTTGTAACACTGCTTCTCTTTTGCAGGGCATCTCCTATCACCCGACCGGTGTCCTCTCCTACCACAGGCATAGCATGGACCGTACCGGAGGCTGCGAACGGGTTCACATACCTCTTCTTGCTGTTCAGCAGCTGGTCCGACTTCTGCTACCTGCGCAGCTGCTGGACCGGTTGATCCCTCTGCAGCACCTCTCAGGACGCCTCGCCGCTGAAGACCACGATCGACCGCCTCGGCGATGTCCTCCAGCTTCTCCAGGGTCAGGTTATCCTTCAAAAGAAGCTTGTCACGCAGCTGGTCAGACAGACATCCCTCAATGAACTGGTCTCTAACCATTTCGTCCCTCAGATCACCAAAAGAGCATCTTTGAACAGCTTCTTTCAAGTTTGCAAGATAGACGAGAGCTGTTTCTCCCGGCTGTTGAACACATCGTCTGAATCTTACTCTTTCAGTTCGTACATCAGCGTCTTTTACAAACAACTTCTCCAAGATCTTTACTGTACTGTCGTACATTGACGTGGGGTCATCCTTGATGTCAGCGTCTGACTCAACAGAAGACTCGACTGATTCAATCGCTCTGAACAGCCTACGGGCCTCTGTGCCAACGCAGTGCAATAACAAAGCCTTCTTCCTACCAGCTGGCCAATCATGCCATCCGCTAGCCTCACCATAGATCAGGAAGTCAGCGTACCACTGCTTCCACGGCAAAGTAGGCTTCTGACCCGCGATCGACAAGTACTCACTCGGTGGGGTTGCTTGAAACATCCTTGTCGCCAAAATGTAGTGTCGAGTCCTCCCGTGTGCTTCCGTCCAGTTCCACGTCCTTCAAACTCACTGTTTAGCCACCACCATGATATTAAAATAAGAACAAACGGCGATAACGTTACATAACAGACTCCAGCCCAGTGAGCTGGTTCGGCGTCTACCAGCCTCGGCAGCCGCTCCTCTGCTCTCGTGGCCGGTGTCAGACTGAGCGCCGCCGGCGCCGCACGACCCGTCAACGGTCAGCGCCGCCCAGTCACGCGGGCGGGGCTGCGTCATAACGTACAGTACGTCGTGAGCCGTCAGGCTTAGACCGAACTACGACGCTAGCGCGTCACACAATACTACGCACAACACTACAGTTGTGTATTGGCGCACCGCACTCCACCAGTCCACAGCACACACTCCCAGCCAGCAATCCCACTCCGTTCCCGATCGGGATTTTCGGACTCAGCCCGCACCACCCCGATCGGGACCGGAGTGGGACGGGATTGGGAAATGAGACACTTTGTACGGGCTGGAACGGTCCGGATATCCCAACCTACCCCGCACGGCCGGTTGGGAGATCCTGCACGTATCCGGACCGCCTTATGACGTTTTAACAAGCGCTGAACTCCGATCCCGATCGGGATTCCCCAAATCTCCCCGTACAGTATGTCTAAAAAGTATGTCCCCTAGTTTTTTTCTCCCATGGTAGGCGAATCGGTAACTTGGCTGAATCCTAGTTGCGGCACCCGGCCGCCAGGGGCGCTGCCACGCGAGTGGCCTTGACCGCTCGCATGTCATTGGCAGTTCGGACCCTCCCCACCTCGGTAGAGATGGGGAGGAGAGCAGAGGGGAAGAGAGGGGAGGGAGGGGCACCCGCTCGGCACTGGGTGATACCTGGCTGACCCCGCGCTCCCTCGCTGACCTCCGTCCTGCCTTCAAGCGAGGACCGACTTCCTCGGCCCGCAGCGGCCGAGCGGTAGAACCGAGCGTGTGGGCTTGACTCCATGGTGGCTGTGAAGCACAGCTACGATAACTCGGCTAGTGCATGAGGAATAATGCTTGTTCCAGAAATTTCTAACGCAATACCCGTTACAGTAAGCGTGGATACGTGAAAGGAAAAGGGCCACCTTTAACCCTCGCCCGTATTCGTGTTTTGCCAGCGTCTAACGTATAGGAGGGGGTCCCTTGGACCCCCTTGCCGTTTGGCACCTGTTATTTTTTCATAGCTAGAGCTTCGCGAAAACGAGCGTGTTGCCCGTGACGAGAGGAAGCCAATAATACCCAATTTTAAGGTCCCAGGTCATTGGTTGTCGTGGAAGGGTTCCGAGAACTACGGCCAGTCACGGTCATCGCCCAGTGGATTGTCGCCCCCCCCCCCTTAAGATCTCAGCTCCTATAAAAGCCAAAACGACAAACTTTGAAGGATGGGTGGGACACTCTATTGTGTGTTACTTTCATGACAATAGGTAAATATCTTCAAGGTCAAATGAGGTTAAACGGGTCCAAGTCTGTCAGATGAGGGTCTATTTAGTGTCTACTACACGCCCATACCTCTAAAAGTTACCGGCCGATTTTCTTATTTCTTTCGCCTTATGACGACACATACACTTTTTTAAAGTATATATTGAGAATCTCTAATTAATCCAGCCATAATAATGGCAATTAGAGCTCTGTTAGGAGAAAGATGTCTTCCGGTTGAGACGGGGAACAGCCGACGCGGAAAGAGTGTTACAAATTTGTGTTAACACACTCGTAACTCGAAATGTTACCGCTAGTTTTCTTTTTTCACCGTAAGATTGTATTTACATTTCCAAGTCTTCACAGAGACTTTGACGCAAATCGATCATTAGCAGCGGTAAGCAGCGCGATGCAAAGGCGGAACTGCCCGGCGCCGGCAGCGAGAATCGGCCGGCGCCGGCCGCCGCGCCGCCACGCCGCTCCGGCGGGATATTTGACTTTGACACACATGCTGTTAGAAAAGTTGTAGGCCGATTTACTCATTGCTTTAACGGCAAGATGCGCAATTCAATTTTAAGCGAACTATCGAAAACTTGACGTTAATAGAATGATAATGGCGTAAGATACTTGCAAAAAACAGGAGGGGTGGACGAAATTCGCCCCCCCCCCCATCATCCACTGTGCGTGTTATGAAATCAGCTGACGCAAGCGACCATTGGTGACCCGATTGGGCAATGACCTTGAACTCGGGACAAGGAGGCGACAGACGAGCGACTCAGCCACTTGGCAACAATCGGGGGAGTAGCGCGCCAGCTTTGATTGCATACCGTTCCGCGATTTGTTTTGCGCTGTGAAATGCCGTATCATTGCAGCGAGTTTGAAAAGGGGCGTATAATTCAGTTAAGAAATGAGGGGAGAAGAATAAGTGAAATCGCAAAAGCATGGGTCGCACCGAGAAGACCATTCGTAAGTGGCTGGCCCGTTTTGAAGAAGAAGGCGAGGCTGGAATGGCTCAGCGCCCACGATCAGGACGTCCACGCGTCACTTCCGAGGAACAAGATCAGGCAATGGTGGAGGTAATATGAACTATCTAATATCTATGCTTTATTGTATGTAATTATTGTTTGCTTTTTGTCCGTTGCATGGATGTTTGTTGAACTATTACGTGCTGAATGCTGATGCAAACAATTGTAAAACCTTTATCATATTGCGGACGCGCCGTTCTACCCATAACTGAAAACTACACAAATGTGCACCGTTCACTCTCAGCTGAGCATCATTTAATTGAAAGGATAGGGTGGGAAATAATTGGAACAGCTGGGGCAACTTGAACATAGTATGAATGACACAAAATTACGGAAAATCCATAAGTGGCACGACAATAAGACCAATGAGGGACATAATCATAACTAAAAGGGCTATCATATTAACGGGTTTTAAAGTTTCATGGAATGGAGATGTTGACGCACATTATAAGAAAACCAATTTCGCAAGTAAAAACGCCCCACAACAGGTCATTGCAACTTCATTGCAGCGCAAAATCTGACATTGCTAGCGCCTAATACGCAACGGCTTTTGTTATACAATGAACTAATAAGTGCCTTCATTCCAAGATATTTGCTTTTGAAACTAGTTTTTAAATATGGCAAAATAATTTGTGACGTAGGGTAATTTGAACATAGTGTGATAATTTTAATGAAGACCGGGATAGCTCCGAAAAATTACGCTCCTAGTTTTTTTTACCCAGTTCTTCGACCCAAAGTAGTAGCAAATAAGTGATGCCTGGAATATTTTCCATTATTTTCCATCACGTGGTTGACTGAGGAGGGGGAGGGCTCTAGAGTCCCCCCCCCCCCCCCTCCCTCCTATATCCAAAACCACTGGGCCGATTGTCAGAATTCAAACGGCGTTTGATATAACCCTAGAAGAGCTGTCTGACGAAACCTTCTTTATTGACTTCGAGGTCTCCGATGACCCCACCATTCAGGTCAGGTTAGTTCGGGTTCACAATTTGGTCTCTGGCTGCCGGCTAACAAATCACATTAAGTTCATTTTTTGGTTTACACACTAGCCAATATGTATATGCTTATGAAAACCATAAGGGTACCGTAGTTCAATGTTATGCATCAAAATGGGCGGAACATGACGTCACTCTAACGTCATTCCCGGACAACCTATTATAGCTACGAAATTTCCATTTAGCCACAAGGTGTCAATTGATGCAGTCTTAGCGGTCTAGAAGATATTAAAAAAAAACGGGTGGGGGGAGGCTCTGTAGATCCCCTTTAGTCATGCGCGAGCTAACAATCGCTTAAATGGCAGGCACCTATTGCAATTGGAAAATGGTTCGTTTAAACGTACCATTTTACCAGATAGCATCAACTATTATGTGGTAGCAAAATTAGAGGGTTAACAGCCTTGTCATGATCAACCATACCAAGTTCCAGCAGCGCAGTTGGTCTAAAACATGGTTAGATAATAAAAACTTCGGACCTTTTCAAATTTGACCATTTCAATGGCTCCAATAAAATGGAGCCCAGTTAGGTATTTAGTGATAACTTATCTCTCAGTGTAGGTTATATTGGAAGACCCATCAATTATCTTTCATTTGTGCATAAAAACATTAAATTCTTCGTAAAATATCACTGGAGATCTCCCTAAAGCATTTTTCGAGAAGCATGGCAAAGTCACCCCCGTTTACGGTACCAACCTGTTTGCAATCCTACAGTTGGCGAAGGATCAGCCCTTCATGACGGTGCGGGATGTGGGAGCGGCCACGGGCGCTCCTCATCTGCACCCGACCTGCATCTCCAACCGTCTGAAAGAGGGGGGACTGCGGACCTACAGGGCTGCCCCAGCTTTGCACCTCAGTGAAGTCAACAAAGCAAACCGCGTGCTTTTCGCCCAAGAACTGCTCCCGAAGCCCGTGGAGTTCTGGTCAAGAGTTATTTTCTCGGACGAGAAAATCTTCCGGACTGACCAAACGGGAAAGCTGCTTGTCCGAAGGTATGGAATGAAATCCATTGTTCAATACAATCGAACAATGTCATGTGCAGTTAAATGACAATCGTTCTTCAACGGAGCAATTTCATTAATTATTAACCCTCGCCCGTTTCGTGTTTTGCCAGCGTCTAACGTATAGGGGGAGGGGGCGGGGGTCCGTTGCATTCCCTTGCCGTTTGGCCCCCGATGGAGCTAGAGCTTCGCGGAAAAAAAACGAGAGTGCTGCCCCTGGCGATAGGAAGCCGATGATATTCAAGTTTAAGGTCCTAGATCATTGTTCGACCTTCCAGGTCAGCTCAATGACCCAAAAGTCGGGAAAATCGGGCCCTGCTAGAACTTCGTATAGTGAAGGTGCTATATTTTTGGGGGGTCCTGGTCACGAATATCATTTTAGGTTTGATCGCAGATTATGTCTTGATGCATTTAGGCCAGGTCGGGCCAGGTCAGGTCAGGTCAACCAGTAGGCGTCCTGCCGGCTATCCATTGTAGGTGTCAAGCACTACTGACGGCTCGTAACATATTACGAAGGCACCAAAACTACTTCGTAAATGTTCAAATGGGCGCTAAATTCGAAATCAGCTCCAAAAACTACCCTAAGAACATAACTCAAAAAGTGAATCGAGGTCATCAAAGATCAATGACCTTGACCTGATATTCACGTGACCTTGACATCCCTCTCTCTCTCTCTCTCTCTCTCTCTCTCTCTCTCTCTCTCTCTCTCTCTCTCTCTCTCTCTCTCTCTCTCTCTCTCTCTCTCTCTCTCTCTCTCTCTTTCTGCCGATATCGCCCTGTAATGCTATTCTTTTCCTCATTTTAGGCCGAAGGGACTGCGCGACTCGGAGTCCTTCCTACGGACAAGAGACGCTAGTGGACGGCAGTCTGTTCACGCGTGGGGGTGGGTGGATGGGTTTGGGCCCGGAGAACTCCACCGTGTCATCGGGCGCCACACAGCTGACACATATGTGGAGATTCTCGATGAGGTAAAAACTACTGACGATTAACTGACTGATAAATTAATGACAAATATTTGTCGATTTATGTATAAAGCTTGTGAGCTAAAGGAAGCGTGATCTATCTAATCACTGCCGTTTGAATTGTTCGTTAAAAATCAGACAATGAGCAAAACAAGCTGTATTGGCGTAGGAAATGTGGGAAAATTTTATTTCCAACAACGAATGTAGCTAGCATATTTATGGGTGGCCCACTGAATAACAAGGAATAACTGCAACTTGATTGTGTCAAACGGTAAAACACACCTGTGCAAATTAAGCATGCTGCATGATCCACAATTGTATGAGAAAAAAAATGATAAAACAATGAAAACTGTTGCTCTATTGAACCAGGTCCTGCTCCCGACGTTGGAGCAAATGCGAGGGGCGGCTCACCAGCACGTGCTTGTGCAAGACCATGCTCCTCAACACACGGCAGCCGTCACCAAAAACTGGTTTGAGGAGCACCAAGCTCAAGTAAATGATTATATTGCTATCTGCTGAAAAGTTGTGGAGTAAACAAATAAATTTTCTTATTTTATAATTATAATATTTATGTCTATCTGGTTTCTAATGTCAAATCATAAGTGTTAAACTTATTTTGTATCTGAAAACAGAAAAAATGGCTGAAGAGTGGCAAATGCTTAGCAATAAGCGAAACAAACCCACGAGCCGCTGGGGGGGGGGGGGAGGCATAAAGTTGCCCCCACCCTTTACGTTTTGTGGAATATCTCCGAAACCTGATGAGCTACGAATGTGAAACTTTGCATAGTTTAAAATGAATACCTAGGCAATGTTTGAGGAAACTGTGGTGGTTGTAGCATTTAAGATGACGTCACAGTGACGTCATAAAGTTTTGTCGTTTTCCGATATGGAGCGTTTCTGATGTCGCTGAGCATGAAACTCAACTGTAAATGAACCAGACAGCACCTGCTGTCATCCTAAAACATCTAAGTACTCTTCCAACTAGTTCCTGACCAGTAATCAGTCCTTTATATTCGGTCTCATCTGTCGGATATATCGTGAGGAAACTGAGAGTCGCAAACCTATAGACTTCTGACGTCACTGTGACATCATTTCAAACGGAATCGACACCAAATTTGGACACAACCTCGGCTAGGTATTCAGGAAGATGTGTGCAAAGTTTCGCTTTTCTATCTCTTCGCGACGATTGCGATATTGTCGCAGAAGTAAAGGGGGCAACTATATGCCCCCCCCCCCTCCAAGCGGCCGGCGGGTGGCGCGGAGGCCCAGCGGCCGCAGGGTTAATTAGGAAAAATTCATCATAGATTGCAGAAGAACGCGTAAAGGCAAATGAAAACGGACATCAATATCACAATTAAAAGCGACTCATCATTACAGGTGTCTGTCGTGGAGTGGGCTCCCAAGAGTCCAGACCTCAACATCATTGAGAATGTGTGGGGCGTAATGGCCCGGGAGCTCGGCGAGGACGGTGGTCTGCGCGGCCTGACCTCCGACCAGCTGTGGACACGCGTGGAGAAGAAGTGGGAGGAGCTGCGATCCCGGCCGGCGATGTTCGCCTCTCTGGCGGCTTCGATGCCCGGCCGTCTGCAGGCCGTCATCGAGAGCGGCGGCGGGCACACGGGATACTAGGAGCGCCAGTAAGGTTGGTGAATTTAGAAAATGACTTCAGCCGCCGATGCATTTACAGCAACATCGATTGTATGGGATAAACCTTACATTGATGAATATTGTAAAATATAATTAGGTACAATGACCAGCCGAATGCCACCACCCAGAATTGAGAGCAAATCATTTACCTTATTTCCATTGCTAGTAGTGATGCAGATCATTTGATAAGTCGTAGTAGGATCGAGACAGATCGAATAACTAAACGTTACGGGCATAGGCATTGGAGTAGAAAAACAGATCATGTCCAATTTCAGGAAATGTGGAAATGACTCATTATTGGTCCCTATCGATCTGGTCTGTCTTACGAGCTCATGCCATGTCATGTCATGTCATGTCTCACGAGCACATGCTCCGCTCCAGGTATGGTGCTGCTGACTCGAGACCGACGACCGACAACCGTCGAGCGGTTGATTCCGAGAGTCTAGCTTGTTGCCGGCGGCGATGCTGCCGTGGCTGTGGCTGCCGCTGCGTCTGTTCGGAGCCTGCTGCCGTTTGACTCCGTATCGGCCACTGCTGAGTCAGGAAGCCTTGAACGCACCGCTAGCTCGCTATGTTATTTGTGTCTGTTCTTAACCGTTTCTGTGCAGTGTGCGAGGTGCTGACTTGTTTTGCAGTGTTGATTGCTCTGAAATGTGTTTGTTGAAAATACTACAACTGAGTGTACCATGATTAAGTGTTGAAAGGCTAACCCTCGCCTTTATAGCGGGGTCTTATAGACCTCGGGTTTCCTATTCGGTGTTCATAGAGGCCACTGACCGGTTGCAGCCTAACCCGAATGCACAAATGATATTTTCACAAAAAGTATTACATAAAAGCCAAACGATATGCCAAGAAAACTTCATTTCAAGAAGATGTAGGAGGCTCCTTTTTTACATTTAAGCTATTGACTTGAGCTCGAAGCTAAGCATTCGAATCGTTGAATTTGAAGCATTGAAGTCGTTGAAACAACGATCAACCATCGTTAGGGTTATAGGTCACGAGCAATGCGCTCGCTTTCTTCAACAAAGCCATATACCCAACCCAATCAGGTCCAAACTGTTCGTGGGTGGGGGTGCAAGCCCCAGTTGATCGTTAGCAACTGTTAATTAAATGACCAACACGGACGAGATTTAGCAAAGTTAACTATCGCACTTAAAGGAAGGGGGTGTCGAATGAATCCCTTGGTTTTTCCGAACAACTCGCGTAGAAGTCGACCGGTCGCAGAGTAGCTACCAGTACTCCCGATTTGTTTAGTTTTACACATCCTCTAACATTTTAAGGACCCTGACCTATAGTTAGCATTTGAGCTGTGACTGTTTCTCCAGACAATGTCGGACCAGAATTCCGATCGGCGTATTATACCAGCGCATATCGATAGTTCCGAGCAAGAACATCCTAAGTGTCAAATTTTTCGAAGTTAGATTTTTATACCATTCGACTCACCTCGTCGAGCTGAGTCGAATGGTATAAAAATCTCAAATTCGAAAAATTTGACACTTAGGATGTTCTTGCTCGGAACTGTCGATATTATCGGTGAGTTTCCAGACTTTATTATAAACGTGTTAGCATGTGAAATGATGTTGTTCCCATTAAGTATGATGGGTTTCAAGGTCGATGGTCAGATGAAAGCCATTGGCCTTAATCCTCGCACTTATGGGGGGAGGGAGGGGCGAGTGGCCCCCTCCCTCTCGGTTTTTTTTTGCAAATAATTCGCGCAATGATGGCGATCGCGATGAAACATTTACTACCCTCGTATTAATCAGTTTAAACATACCATGATAAGCTCTCGACCCTGACCCAAATGACATCATGACCTGTGTCCTGACCCATGACCTGTGACCTGACCCCAATCTAACCTAACCTATTGAGGCTGACTGTCTCGGAACTGAGGGCCCGGTCTCAGCGAGCACTGGGAGCTCGCTGAGACCGGGCCCCACAGGCAAAATTGGCCTCCTACAACCCGATTACCGTATAAGGAAGGTAACGTAAGGTGACCCGTTAGTCGAGACCATGTCAGGCCGGAATCGCGATTCAGCGTATGTCAGTGCGCCGTATCAATGCCTTTTTAATCTTTGTGTGAAATGATGTTCACCCGCCTCCCCCCCCCCTCGGCCGGCGAGGGTTAAGGGTGTCAGAGGGAAAATTCCTCTCAAAAACGGGGATAAGATTGGAAAATTGCATTTCATGTAATGCCAAAAAATAGAAAAAAGGGAGCAATGGCATAAATTGTTAGGTATACAAGTTGGTAGAATGTAGAATGTTAAACGACAATCTATTTAGATGCTTTTCTCAGTAAAATTGCTGGAGTGGATTCTGGACAATTGCCTTTGAAAATTAGAGATGAAAGTGTAAAATTAGTTTTATTTTGATGTCGTTTCCCACCCAAATGAAGACATTTTGGGACAATGTCATTTTCTGCACCGACCTACGAAGTTGACAAGGCTTCAGTGCACCCTTTGGTTCAGACAAGGCTACCAACGTGACACCTATTCCTCGTAAGAGGCACACACACACACACACACACACACCTACACACACACACAACACATCCAAAAGCTTCCCTATCCCCACCTTGTGCCCACATCAGCATTTCACCCATTTGCGCCAGAACCCTTGTCATTTGGCCGCGACAACTACCAGCTTACCGGCGCACCCCTCACTAAACGCGCTGCCCCGCCCGCTCCCCTCCCACTCCCTCCCTCCCGGGGTCATGTCACGAAGGTTCCGGCTTACGCTACTACCGGCCGCTGCGCAGCTGTCACCCAGCGCTTGGGAATTTGTAGTCTGGTGCGGATTCAGCCAACTACCGGCTCGCGACACCAGCGCCGCGTGGTGGCGACGGGACATTCTTTTTAGACACACTGTACAACCGGTTCGGAAATCCCGCACGCATCCGGACCGCCTTATGGCATTTTAACAAGCGATGAACTCCGATCCCGATCGGGATGTCCCAACTCGGCCCGCACGGCCGGTTTGGGAATACCGCAGGCATCTGACATATTAACCGCAGTCTTATAACCACAGATTGCTGTTATGCAGATGCGACCACTTTGCTTGCGCCACCGCAACCCCCTCGCCTCTTCATTATTCTCCAACTCAACCTTTATAATGCCTGCACGACAAAATGAATTACATTGGACACTGAAATATATTCACAAATTTACTGGTTGCACACAGGTCACATTTTCACAAATTCACAGCCTGGCCAGCACATTCGTGGCGTCGGCCATCATCTTAGCGCCGCTGCAAGGCGCTGGCACAGCGGACTCACTTCCGGTGTTCACAGTCATTATAGCAGGCCTGCGCCTTGTTTGTGTCGGCTCCTCTGCGGACAGTGTGTCCGTCTGCCGTCACGAGCTTCAGAGAGCCACCGCGAAACTACATAGACGGCTGGCATCTGGTCGGGCGGTTCACCACTGTGCGAAGAGAGCATCTGAAAATGACCAAGAGGTTATTAATCAAAGTCTGGGACACACTAAAAATCACTAAGAAATAACCCACATCTGACATTTCACATGGTATGCCTGGTAATTCAGGTTTCAAACCTACAATGCAACCAGTAACGACACTTGACAATGAGACCAAACAACTTCTGTCCATGATAACTGATCAAACATGCGACAGCACGAGTTTAATTCACATGCCGTACAACCACAACGAACATAACGATTTCTATTACCTATAGCTTTCCCGCTCCCTACATCACGGATGAAGTGTGCACTATACACCCTGTTCTCAAAGACAGACTGATTTCCCTGCAACGACAACAGTTGAACCGACCGCTTGCTAGAGCCAGTTCAAAAGCAATATCGAGGCAGCAGCTCAAAGGAGGGATCGACACTTGACCAACGCGGCAGCTAGACTGGCCGCTGCGCTCAGAGGACGCGTCTGCC